TTGAATAACAAACTGATTATTCTGATATAAAAGAGCTATTTCTTTCTTCAAATATTTCAGTTGAATATTAGCAGAATATTTATAACCCCGGGCTGTAAGGTATTATGTCCCTGGCTCTGTTCATATTTTTCTTTACACAATGTTTCCTCGTTCTTGCCCCATAGCATCCAAGTTGACTCTAGTTTCATGAAAGCTTTGAATATATCAATGTCAGCAGCTGTAGCTTGTAGTATATAACTTACCTACATGTAAAAGCTGATGGCCCAGCCAACTGATAACTATCCATGGTCAATAGCTACAAATATACACATATACCTCCGCACATAGAATCCTACTCATGCAGTGTATAATAAAGCCTTAGCAAACATCAATTAATTTCAAAAACTCATGACAAAAATTCAATGTAGGATATACAACTCAAAAATGACATCTCATAAATAAAGGTTCAAAAGCTAAAAACATGTATAACTTTAGAATTCTCCACCTTTTAAGAGCATTTACAAACTATGCTATTGCTAAATGTCTTTAAGAATCAAGTCTACAAGAATATGTAAGATAATCTATTCCAAAAACAAAACCTAAGTCAACCTATTTCAAAAAAGAAGCATTGAAAGTCACATTTCAAACACAGTATTTTAATTAATTACTTCCAATTAGATTTCATTTACTTTTTTTTTAGTTTCTGTAAATGAATTTGTTTACAATGCCTTAAGAGGTATCCAGTGTGCGCAAGTTTCATGAGACACAATCTTTTCTCCAACATCTCCATCTGCTGGCTTAGAGGAAAAAAGTAGATTTTTATTTGCTATTTCTTTAAATTTAGTATTTTTTATAATTTACTTTTGTAATATTATGGAATTAAAATATTAAATTATTGTTAGCTAGAAAAATATTTATTTGCCAAAATAAATGACCAAAATAGAGAAAACTTTGAAAATTAAATTCAATATTTAATATTTTAAATTCCCAAACCCTACGGGATCAGATACTCATGTTTATAACCTTTTTAGACAGTTCTTAAGTTTAAGTTCTTACAATTACCATAGCATTGAAGTTTATTAAAATTATTTAAGATGTAAATATTCTTAGTATTTTCCTAAAAGTCTGTTCTTGGTTTTGTTAGTTAACAAGATAGTGTATATACAAATACCCATGACAAATTTATTATTCATGAATATCCAGTTTTTTTAAGTTGCTGTAATAAGTTGCTTGCTTTTAAAGACAATCAGACTCCATTTCCATCCTAATACTGAAGTTGTTAGATAAGACCTCACTCAGCTGCCAATCCATTAAAGGTATGGAGGCCTCCCTCCAAGGCTCTGGATGTGATTAGAAAGTGCATAGAGGAAAAAGGTTAGAAAAAATGAGTTTCCATTGGAAAAGCATTCATTTCTTCTAGTGTAGCTAGAAGGCAATAAATATTTATTGAGTGAATTAATGAATAAATGCATTCATGAGGCCCATCCCTGATTTCAGTCACTGAATAAAGATGTTATTCTCGATTTTCTTTCTGGTGTTAATGTTTTGTATTTTCTCATAATGAGGGCACATATTTGAACAATCATCAGAAAAATAATCTTAGTACTATTTCTAGCTAAGAAGAAAAGGAAGGAGCAAAAGAAAAAAGAGGTGAGGGGTGGGAGAAGGAAGAAAAGAAGGAAAGACATAAGAAGTCATGGAAATCATCTTTTTATGTTCCGGTATCCATGGAAACAAATGAGGACAAACAGGTACTTTCATTATCCCACTGTGGAGCTGAGTGTAATGCACATTCCCTTCAGAATAGAAGTTCATTTAATTTGCACAACCTTAGCACATTCTATAGATCTCTTTGACTCATTAACTCAATGTCAATTTGAACATTTCCAAATGACTTCCTCCATCTTGGAAATAAAAGTAACTTATAAACAAATACCTGAAATTGTATCATTAAATTTTAAAAGTCTACCTTCTTAATATATAAATTTAACCCTGTGAGAATTTTATGGCTTAACTAAGCTGAAGAACAATTTATGTTATAAGCATTGAGTGATGATACGTATTACTTGACAATAGAACCAGAGAGAACTTCCTTAGATTTCTGGATGAAAAGGGGAAAATAACTTGGTTTTAGCTGTCAACAAAGTTACTGCTGTTGCTTCTGCTTTTGTAGGAAAGAATCGTAGACTTTCCTGATTTAAGAAAAAAAAAAAAAAAGCAAGAAAACAAGGACTATGCAATGGGGTAAAACCTTGAGCAGGATTTAAATGATCAAGACCTATCTTCACAAATTTGATATTGGAGAATCCACTCACTTCTTGACTATTGACTTTTGGTTGTGTGGTTGTTGCAACTTACATAAGAGTCTCCTCTTTCAATCTCTCTCTTTCTCTCTCTCTTCTTTAAAATAATTTTATATTTTCTATTGTCCTTAGTAAAACGAAGAAATAAAGGTATAAATATTCCATTTCATAGATTTCACAATTCTTAAAAGAATAAAGAAACTAAATCACAAAACACAAGGTGATTTTTTTCCCCAGATAATGAGTTAATGTCAACTCTAGAAAATTCTATCCAATGAGTCTCTTTTCAGTAACAGTGCCTCACTAGTTGTCTGTAGCAATCAGTCAGATTGTTGGAACATGGGAGCTGCAAATGCCGAGATTCTGAATTTCCAGGATGGTGTCTTTGAACTGCATTTGGTCTCAGTGTTTTAAGATAATAATACATAGAGGGGGGACGTTTTAGGATCTGGAGACATGAATATTTTTGTTTCAGCTTCACTTACTGAGAAAAAGAGAAAATCTGTGCACAGTGAAGATTTGTTTATCCCAGAACTATGGTCAAATATATTAAAATGTTTAGTTTTTTAAAAAATGAAATCCAAGTGCTTGTTACATGGGCATCTTCATTCTATGAAAATTCATGAGGTTGTATATTAGTTTGATATATGTGCATATTCTGGTCATGTATCTTATTTCAACAAAATCTGTATTAAAAATAAGCCTATTCAAAAATATTGAGACCTAAGACTAGTAACATAAACTACAGTTTTGATCTCTTCATAGCCCCAACACAGTAAGTAATTCAATATTGGTTGGAATCAAGAAGCATTCCTTTTGTTTAGTGGATGAATCTGTTATTTTCTCAGTGAGCTCCTCCATATTTTCACCAATGAATAAACTTCTCAATTGACTATTTTCTAAAAGGATAGCTGTCAACACTTAGAAGCCTATATATTTCCTAAACCCATAGACTTTCTTTAGGATTCATTTTGCAAAGCATTGCCACATTTGTTAGGATACGTGGCACAGTTTCGGGTCAAACTTGTAATTCAGGAGAAATGGAAATGTCTTAATATCAAATGGATAATCTAATTAAAGTAGGTAGATAAAGACGGAAGTCTTTGAACTTTAATTAAAGCTGTTTCTTTGTATGCTATGTACTTAAAATTTGAGATGTTCTATATTTTTTTAATCCACTTTGAGTCTCTCTCTCTCTCTCTCTCACACACACACACACACACACACAACACACACACACAGTTTCTTTTCTCATTTAGCATTGAAATTTGAGAAAACATAGTACTAAAACCACGAAAATCGTCTTAAATTGGTCCTTCATGAACAATTGCATTCTGGTCATATATCAGGATTACAATAACCCTCGTGTTCTATAAATTGTTTCTTGTCTTCATTCATCTGGGTGGCAGAGTTGCAAACTGAGTAGCCGCTGTTCCTGACACTACAATGGAGCTAAACCCTGGGAGATAAGACGAAGGCTTCACAGAGAACGCGTGAACCAGTGGTTGGCTAATGTGGGAGCGCAGCAGTTGTCTTTTCCTGCGGTAATTTTCCACTAGCCAAAGTGGGTGGTGGGACCTCCGCAAATCCCCCCAAGTCCTTCTCTATTAAATGAAAACTGTGAACTTCGCGGCAGGGGGGACTCGCCTGGCCAGCGGCAGGAAATGGTGGCAGCTGGGCATAGGGGAGCAGGCAGCGCGGGCTGCTCGGCCCACGCGCGCCGGGAGCGCGAGGGAGGGAGACAGCCTTTCCGCTGAACCTTCCAGATTCCCAGCTGCTGGGGTGCTATTGCTTCATCCGAAGCCTTTATAGAGCTGCCTCGCCAATCCCAGATTCCTGGCGGAGTGACAGAGCTAATATGGAGAGCTGCAAACACTAAAATGGCTGATCAGAGACTTGGATTTTAACACTTGGCCCTGTGCTTTCCAGTCCTCCTCGGGCTGCCTTTGCAAGAGCCCGGCTTTCTGTGCACCAAGCGCGCCTGGCCAGCTGAGATGACCATGGTGGCCCGGGTGGAATCGCCCGCTTTAACTTCAGCGGCAGCTGCACAGAGCTGGAGAGGCGGTCAACACTCAAGCCATCCGCTCCGGGTCCCAGCAGCCTCCCACCGCCCACGGGCCTGGGCCTGCGCAGCCTCGCCCCCTCCCGCCCCCCTGCTCCTGGGTGGGCGTTATGTAACAGCCTGAGCCCAACTCCACAGCCTCTGTAACAACTTGTCCCGTGGTCAAGGAGGACTCGCGGGGACCGTGGATGAGCCAGAGCCCAGACTGCGCTCTGGAATCCGGACCTCACGCTCAGGCTACTCCATGGCCCAGGTGTCAGGGCTCCAGCAGTCCCCAGTGGGATCTGTCCAACAGCCCGACAGCGCGCCCCGGGGGACAACGAGTTCCCTGTTGGCTAGGTGCCAGCAGGCGCGCGAGGGAGAGGGCGGGGCAAGTCACTCTGGAGGCTCTAAGAGGAGCGAGATCCTCCAGAAGCCAAGAAGGACCAAGTTCCCTACTGTGCACACTCTTCACCACCACCCCGCCAGCGGGGGGCTCCGAGATTGCTGCCCCCTTCTCGCTACGCCGGCACGAGCTCGCGCGTGCAGTCACTCACACCCACACACTGACACGCAGAAACACACACACACTCACACACATACACACCATCCCACCCTCGCAATCGCTAGCTTTTGGCGTGTAGCACCCCCAAAAAACATGAATATTCATTACTTACAAGCATTGGTGACTGCGAAGCTGTTGGCTACCTCCAAATTGTCGATGTGGGGTGTCAGTCTGAACTCCGAAGTGGAAAACTGAACCATCCCTACCCGAAATGCACTGTATTCTTGATCTGCGCCCCTCGGAAATAGGCCCCCTGCGAAGAACAAATACCAAGCAAGAGAACCTTGTCAGCCTGTGAGGGAGTGGAGAGCAGCCCACCGGTACCCAGCAGCCTTGGAGTCTCTTTTTCACGCTAAAGGGCCGAATAAACACATTCATGGACTTGGGCAGAAAGCAGGGGTCGAACACCCAGAAGGTAGCCAAGGGGTCAAATTAACGATGAGAGTCTGAGAGCAAGGTAGGTGGCCAGAAATGTTCCCTTTTCTTCCTAATCACAAGCTTTGCATTCTTGACCCCTAGAGAATCCCAGCAAACTGGGAAATGTCGTCAAGGAAGAATTGATAAAATTTGGGGGTCAGAAATGTAAAGACCTTTTCCTCTATTGTAGCAAAGGCATAATCGTTTCCCCTTGCTTCATCCTAAGAAAATCATGTATATTCGAGGTAGTTTAAATCTGGAATTCAGTCAAGGTATGACATAAGTCTACATGACATGAATTAATTTGTCCACTGTGAACAAAGATTACCACCAAATTATGCACAATTCAAAAGCATAGCACAAAGGGTACCTACCTATCTGTATGCTGTTAGAAGAGACACCAAAAATCAGTCCCCATAAAACAGGAGAAAGGAGGACAGAAATATGCATAATCTTTTGCATTTCCAAGAAAAGTAGAGCATCCACAAAATACCCCCTTTTAAAAAAAATCCTTTTCCTTTTCTTCCTTCTTTGGCCGTTTTCCTCAGCAAATTAGATCCTCTGCATTTTGAGACAGCAATTTAGCACCAAGCTGCTAAACCCTGAAGTGGAGGCAGAAGAATCAATCCCTATTTCCCAGGTCCTGCTGGTGGCTTTTGATGCCCTGCGCCCTGTCCCCGCTCCAGAAGTCCGGAGGACTGGCTGAATGCAGTTTTCAGCGGAGCTGCCGCTGTGGTCCCAGTGTCTCGGAATATTCAGCACCCTCCCATGCACTCACACACACTCACCCTCTCTCGCGCTCTCTTCTCCCTCTCTCCTCTCCCCTTCTCACACACGCGCGCGCGCGCACACACTCACACACACACACCCTCACACACACATACACACACAGCCAAGTCACAGAGAGGGGCCGGCAGTCCCAGGCGCGCGTGCGCGACTCGCGGCAGGCGGGCTCGCGCGCTACCCCTCCCCCGCACGGCGCCCCACACCCCCCGCACAGCCCTGGCCGCTTAGCCTGCGAGGTGCTGAGAAAGCGCTGCTCAGAGCTGGCAGCCGCGGTCTCTAGAAGAGACCTCTGATCTCCAGAGCTGTCGCGCCCACCACGCGTATCTGAATTTCAGCACCGAGGACAGCGCTACGCTCCCAGCCTGGAGCTCCAGTGGCGCGGCGGCTGCAGCTGTGAGATGCTACAGCTTGGACCAAATGCAGCAAAGCTGATTTCCGGCCGCTGTGCAGGAGAAAACGAAATGCAAATTGTTGGCGGTGCAGCGTTCTCTCACCAGGCACTGTTGTGCTACGTTAAAAGTAGTTTTAGTTTTTGTCTTCCATCTCACGTGAAAACCCACTTAGCAATCTAGAAACGCTGCCATCCGCCTCACCTGACACAGCAGAAAAGCAAACAAGCAAGCAAAATACCCATCGAATAGAAGTGTTCCCATATTGTGAACTTTGCTTCATGTGAGATGGTCACGATTCAGGAAAACCTAAAATTCTGTCCTTAAAGGCTAACATCAAGATTGAATATTTGAGATGGCTTGCATGGAAATTCCATATTCAGAGTATATTCCATTGGTCTGTGATGCCCACTTGCAGACCCTCACTGCCTGCGGATAGCTCTGGCAGCCTACACTGCAGACGCCCTCCCGCTGTGTTGTAGCGACATTTAGACTTGGCTCCTTAGATTGAAAGTAAAGACAGGCTCCTAGGAAGGAGCTGTTAGAAGATCAAGCTAGTCTGGGGAGGCTGCAGAGCTGCAGAATTTTCCCAGAGACTTTGTTACAGTCAGATATTCCATCATATTTTGGTCCTGACTTTTGAAAAATCACTGCCTGTAGGAAGTAACATACTTCACTGTGTTGAACACCGAGCCTCTGAAAAAAAAAAAAGAGGAGGTTAGGGATTAAAAGTTCGTGGGAAGGGAGTGGGTGGAGTGGATTGGAGATTGCACTTCCTCTGTGCAATTTCTGCTCTCTACGCTGCTGCCTCAGACATTCCTTACCAAGTTTTATGGCTGTTGTAGGTTTAAACAAAGAAATAAAGAAGATTGAGTTCGAGGAACCCTTTCCAAGGAAACTGCAGATTGAAATTCAGGACACACGAGAAAGAACCTGCTAATATTCCCAAGTGCATGACAGTTAGTCGACCACTCTACCTTCTTGTGCAATTATGACATTAATACCAAACCTGCAGCCTTCTGTTGACAGTGTTACCTCATGCTAATCACTTTATCGTACTGACATCAACTTTTCCACTTTAATAACAGGAATGTGACCAAAGTGACCTTTGTGGATTTTAAAACATGTACTTACGTGATTTCAATTTATGACTGTCTTTTCTTTTTGAACATATATATATATATACATATACTCTCAAAATGTACATATATATGTACATGTATATAAGAACTATATACATATATTCACATACACCTATTTATAGTCTTAAAACAGGAATTCAGAATACTCGTAAACTATTCCTAAACTTGTATATCGCACTAATTTTATCACTAATAATTCTATTTTGGCTGGTAATAAAAACTTCACAGTGTAGAAAGCAGGCTTTCTGAATCAAAAGGCATTTATTTAGCTTTTATTCAATGAAAATAAAAAATCGTAAGGAGATATATATTATATATATTCAAAATTCAACATAAAAACAAGTAAATTATGTACATTTAATCACTGCTTATGATTTCAGGCACAAAAATAATTTATTATTCCCCTTTGAAACTTAAAACTCAAAGTGTATCTATCTCTTCAGTCATTCTCTTTTTTCACCATTCAATTTTTTCCACAAGAAAATCTTCAATTTCACATAAAGTAACATGAATTGTGAGGAGGAAAAGAGGAGAGAGAGAGAGAGCGAGATCAAGGGGGAAGTTTGAAAATAGAAAGGGTGTATTTAAAGTGTAGCTTGATGCAAATTGAGTTTTAAAAGATAAGACTGTTTCAAAAACTATTTTTATCTTAACTTATTTCAAAGTCAAGGGCAGATATGAACTCAAAATTGACTGAATTACATCTTATGAAGCCAAGAATTTGCTGAATCATAGAGTATTTTCCCCAGTACATATGTAAGAACTCAGACAAATACTACTGTCTAGTGATCAATTATAATTGATACATAAGGTGAAAAACAAACTTTTATCTGGCATTACTTGAAATTGAGCTGCTATTCTACTAATCTGTATTTGCAATGTAGCTATATTTATTTTTTCACATGTCTGGAAACATTTCCTACAATATCAGTATAATTACATTAATAATATCATTTATAAAACATTTTTCAATTAACTAATGTTTGAATAGCAAATATTTCCTAAGCATAGAATGCTGTCAATTTAAGGATAATAAATTTAAATTGACCAAAGCAAATGATTATACAAATAAATGGGAAAAAAATGTAGCTAATTTTTCACATACCTAAGCTCTCTTTATAAAATTGAGAAACTTACTGCTTCTACAATATTTATGTTAAATTGATTAAAAACAAAATCAAAATTTTAAATTGCAAAACAGTTGTCTAAAAGGTGCTCCTAGAAACAGTTTGCTATTTTCTGCCCTCTGCTGTTCAATTCTGGCAATTATGTGGAACTTTGTTTCTGATGCACTGATAACTTACAGCAAAAAAAATAGAAGGAACTAAAAAAATTGTCCAATTTGTTATTTGTTTTGTTGGTTGGTTGATCATTGTTGTTATTTTCTGTGTGCGTGTTTAAATTTGATTTTAGTATAAAGTCTAGAAGTAAGTGCTATATGTAAAATTTTAATTTCTGTATTACTCCATCTTTGTTTCAATAAAGAAAACTATGATTTTCATTTTAAATTTTCTTTAAAATACAAAGTTCTTAACTATATTTTATCTACTCTCTACAGTTATAAAATTGTGCTGCACAATTAAAAAGAAATGTTATTGTGTGTGGATGAGTGATAATTTTGAACAGTTGACAGGACAAACTTTTAACTGTCTGCATTATCAAAATTACATTGTAATTGCCAGTGCTATGTAGTTCCTACTGATAAAGTCTGACCCAAGTGGAGGTCACCTCTTCCCTTCCTATTTTTCCTCTGGGACTGTGAAAATGTAGGACATATAAAAGACTTGGGTGCAACTCAGTCTCAGAAAGAAATGAGACTTCATTCTGCTGCCAGCAGGAAATGGAAAAGAAGCTCCTGCACAGGTTCCATGTTCCATATTTGAGACCTTATGTACTGAAACAATGCAGAAGAACTAGGAGAAGCATGAGAAAATAAAAGGGAAGGGCTTCAGTTCTTAATATAAAGGATTATACTAATATAAGTATTCAGACCAAAGATTATTGATTATACTTTTGCCAAAATTTTTAATTATTCACTCAATAAGAGCAATTTCATGAGCTTACACTATATCTGAGCATTCTGTACATATGTGTGTATGTATATTTATGTATATGAATATACATATCTATATGAAAAGGTTCTAAAATTGGAAATAATAGAGACGTTGTTTTAGCTTTGAATGATTTCATGATATGAATTTCAATTAATTTTATCCCTATAGATAGCAAGTCTGTACCAGAAATATTTATTGGAACACAGAATGTGTCTATTTATTCCTCCATTCAGCAAACATTTATTAATGGACTATAATCCAATATTTGTGCTTGATAGAGTAAATGAAAAGATTAAGATCACGTGATGAGGGAAATAAGACATCAGAAAATTAGAAAACTCATTAAGGTAACCTGATGGTGGCAATCAAATTATCTTATGTAGCAACCATATCTTGTAACACAGAGGAAGAGAGGGGTTATCAAAGGCTGACATCTAAATTGAATTGAGTAGAATTTAGCTAAGGAAAGTGTTGGGATTCAGCAGAGAACACTCCATAGAAATGCAATGGCATTAACAAAAGCAGGGTACAGTCCAGGAGTTACAAGCAACTCAAGGTTTTCACAATGGGAAATGTGAGGGAAGAAGTAGCAGAACTAAGAAAGGCCATGATAAAAACATATATATATATATATATATATATATATATATATATATATATATATATGTGTGTAATTTATCTTATAGGAAGAAAAGAATCATTTTGAAGATTAAAAGTAGAGTGCAGAGGTAAGATTTTAAGATTGCATCTTAGATAAAGTATTTCAGATGTTGTATTTAAGGAGAAATATATGGAAAGTAAGGAGCCCAGTTAGGAGGCCATGGTTCTAGTGGGGTTTATGACAGCTGGGATTAATGGACCAATAGTACAGATAAGAAGAAAAGGCTGCTTTCAAAAAATATTTAGGATGAATACTTAGTAGACTTGTCAGTGAACTTATCTGATGGCGGTAAAGAAAATGGAGAAGCAAGGCTGCCTTCCAGGAAAGGAGACTGAGTGGCAGAAGAAAAGGTCTCATGAAGGGATGTGAAGAACACTGGAAAGCAGATGTGCAGGTGAGGTGATGCGTTTGGGTTTGGACATATGTGGTTTGCAGGTTGTTAGGGTATGACCACTGGAGCGACCTGATGTTGACTCTGACACTCAGGGAAAAGGCATAATGGGAAGCCAACTTTGAGACATCTGCTTGTGGTGTTTATTATGAGAGCTAGTTTCTTGAAAAATGTCAGTTAAAGCATTAAAAGATTGAAAAGTACACATACACAAAAAGAGAAGACATGTACATCCCTTTCAAAATTGTGCTTTGATTTAGCACTGATAAAGGACGGTTGCTTTTTGCTCTTTTAAAGTAGGTCCAGTGAGCATGGGTCCTTGAGCATGAACTTACTGGATATTCTTTCATTATAGTTTTTTTTAAGTTTCATCTTTTCTTTCATAAGAGCTTAAGAATATTTGTGAAGCAATAAGAATACTTTCCATTTTTATGATTTTTCTAGTATTCCTTGAATTCCTCTCTAGTTATTCAACAGTTTCCAGCAATCGTCTTCATCTGTGCTATCAATTTACATA